TTGATCTTGATCTTGATCTTGATCTTGATCTTGATCTTGATCTTGATCTTGATCTTGATCTTGATCTTGATCTTGATCTTGATCTTGATCTTGATCATGATCGTGATTGTGATCGTGATCGTATCGTGATCGTCGTGATCGTGATCGTGATTGTGATCGTGATCTTGATCATAATTCAGTCTTAATTTCATGACTTTTTAACACAATCCTTAAAACGGCCTAAAATGAACCAAACCTTCATAATTTTTTTCAGGGATTTCCCTGAGGGGTTGGCAGGGCTGGCCTGGCGAGGAACAGTTTGCTCAGAAACGTAATTTTTTTATTTATTTGTTTAGAGACTTTTCAAAAATATTTTCGATAATTGCAAAATTTTATGTTCTTAATGTTTGCTTTATCTTTAAATGGAGGGTTAACAGTAAAGTCCATTTAACTTCAACTGACTATTTACTGCAAAAATGAAAAATGGTTAATATTAATATTGTTTGCTATTTTCGCAGATTTTCTCTGTTTGTACTGGCGAATTTAATCAAAAAATTCAAAAAGTTTACAGGGATATTTTATCTTCCTCACAAAAAAATCGTTACTTTTTAATACTTTTCTTTTTAGATTGAATACAGGGTTCATAACTCTGTTAAACAACAATGCAGAATCTACTCTAGCTGATGCGGTCATCACGCTAGGTATGTATCTATCTAGTTATCTATCTATCTATCTATTTATCTAACTATCTATCTATCTGTCTATCTAACTATCTATCTATCTATCTATCTATCTATCTAAATCTGCACTACGTGTGTACATAAGTTTAATGTTCTCCAGTACATGTGTACATAAGTTTAATGATCTGCACTACGTGTGTACATAAGTTCAATGATCTTCAGTACGTTCGTACAGAAGTTTAATAATCTGCAGGATCATGTGTACATAAGTTCAATAGTCTGCACTACGTGTGTTTATAAGTTTAATAATCTGCTCTGGGTGGGTACATAGGTTTAATAATCTGCATTGCGTGTGTACAAAAGTTTATCTTTCTGCAGTACTTATGTACATAAGTTCAATAATCTACAGTTCGTGTGTACATAAGCTGTACAATCTGAAGGTATTGAAGTTCTAACAGTACAGCCTGGGTTAAGGGCGTCACATTGCACAAACCTAATGAAATAAAGGAGTGAAAAGAGGATTGGTGGATGAATTATCTACGCATTTTTTGTGTGTTTGAGTATTTTATCCGAAGTTTTACCTTTTACGTTGTCTGTCCACAAATTGCCACGAGTTTTTGTTCCGGATCGATTAGTTTCAGGACTGCTCTTTATCTTACTTTTTCTAAACCCATAATTCTTTATTTTCTTCTGCTGCTTAGCTTCGGTGTAATTCAACAAACTGAATCCTTAACATTAAAAAACATTCAATCTTTTGTGATAAAACTCCTAGTTTTCAACATAGAAAATAATAAATAATTTAACTCCCCTTCATGCTTTAGAAAGTATCTTTTTAGAAAAGCCAAAATATCATTTATTAGTAAAGTGCCCGACGCTGCCCTTGGAATTTTATCCTATGTTACCCCCAGGGTACCCATGGGTTACCTCGAACAATGTCAGCCAATTTGGTCCAGCCGTTTGGCCAGCTAAATCTAACATATATGCAAATATACAAATATACATATATATATATATGATCGAAGAGCTTTATTATATAGAATATAGATTATTAGATTTTTCAATCAGTTATTTTACCCAATTCAGTGACTAAATCCCAAAAAATAATCCTGTAAAAATACTCAAAAAGAAATTTTCTGTGGTGGCCTTCCATTAAGCATAATATTATATAGAATATAAAAAAAAATCAATTTTATTTACTTGCCTCCATTCCTATTATGTACAGTTTAACCCATAAAACTGTGTAGTATAAAGTTTTAAATAATCCATGAAACACAGCAATTGTGCAGTGTAAAGCTAAAACAAAATAATTTCACTTCAGCAGTTGATTTTCAAACTCCTGTTTGCTTGAAAACAATATATTAAAAATAGTTAAAAAGTTTGCTTCCACAGTTCTGTTCATCCCAAATCCCAATGTTTCCGGCGTTTAAAAAACACAGTGAAATATTAAGAATAGGACAATCCATACTGGAAATGTATTTGAAAGAAAAAAATGTGTGGAATTAATTTTTTTACCTTTAAATGTTGAAGGATGGCCGGCCTTTTTCCAAGAATTGATAAAAGGAATTGCCTGGTTTGTTTCCAATGAATAGTCAAACAAATCTTTCCAGATTTAAGAACAAAAAGTTTTTCCATAAATTCCCACAAAAAAGTTTGCCTGATTAAAAAATTTGTTTTGTTTCAAGAAAAATGATTTTTTTTTTAGATTCAGTATGAACAAAGTATGAAATAAACATTTGATCTGTATTTTGTAAAGGTGAAAATTACATAAGTGTTGAATTGGATGGGTGGAATAAAGACTAGAACTTCTTAAATTTTATGAAAATTACTTAACCCTGTATGTATAATATGATATAATTTATTTATTATGTTGACAAAACATTAAAAAAAATTCCTGATATAAATGAAAGTCTGTTGCGCACAAGATGGTTTCCAAAATCTGATCCGGATAAATGAAAAAATTCCTAAAAACTAAAATTTAAACAATTCCTTACTTCCCCTGTAGGATACAAGATGCACAACTAAACGTAGCGCTTCACCAAACTGTAAAGCCGGACTACTATAAGAGAGTTTTGTTCTCTACTGAGAGCAGTAGACAATTGATAATTTTACATTTTACATGCTGAAATACTTAACTTCACTGAACTACCAACTGCATAGGAGATTACATGGACATGGACAAATCCTGAATCATCAATTTAAGCTATGTGGTTGAACCATCTCTAGACCTTGCTCAAATTCATTAAATCTGGCCCTGGTTATCTACAGTCTGCCATTTTAACAGAATTTAGGATTTCAAAAGTCTCAAATTTTTAGAGAAACTGGTTTTAAATCTTTCTCTTTACCTTGTGCTTAACTTCTTGCTTTGCTCTGTTTCTATAGATAATGGCTGGGAATCAGTTTCAACAATCTGGAAAATTTCTGTGCTCTAATAAATAAATCCAAAATGATTTAAACTGATGTATAAGGATTATTTAATTATTTTGATATTCAAATGATATTAAACACAAAAGTTTTGATGAGAAAATAAGTGAAATAGAGTTTTAAGAAATGGGAAGTTGACAAGGTCACTTTTCACTGGCTCTCTTCTTATTGGTTGTTTAGTTATCTGGTCTTAACCCATCTTTCGGGGATTTAAGGACATTATTAAGCATTGTAATTGATTTATTTGTTTGCATTGTTCTAAAATGAGTGATTTTGCGCATTCATGAAAAACTGAGTTTCTTTTAAATCAAAATTGTTGGAAACATATCTAAGCAGTTGTAAAATATGTAAAATTTACTTCCTCCAGAAAATTTGGTTTTACATTAGCTCAATCTTTTTGTTTTAATATAATTGGTTTGTTTTTTATAGCCCTATTAAACATTTAAGAAAAACATGCAATATCTACATACTTTCTTTTTGAGTTGTTTATCCCAACCTGCGTACCAATTGTCAATAAGCATTCTTGCCTAATCAGAAAATATTATCATATCTTTTCTACAAGGTGTCTGTTGGGATTGACAAAGATTATAATTATAATCAATACTTAATTGCAACATGGATGGAAGGAAAAATTTGTAATTGTTGTTTAACATGTTTGGATTACAACTTTAAAGGGGTATTTATTTTTTAGAATTACCTTCCTCATTGGATAATGATGTCAGATATAAGGCTTAAACTGGACTGTATCTTTTTCATTTTTAAATACTTTTTGCCCAAACCTTATTGAATTTTTCTCTTAATTCTTTTATTTCTCCAATTATGTGATATGTATTTTTCAAATATTTTTCCTTCTCATCCCTAACATAATGAAGAAAATATTTCTTTTTGAAGAAAAGAAGGTGAATGATGTTTCAATATAAAATATATCCCTGCAAAAGAATGCTGCAGAAACTGTATCTGTATGTATTTCATTAGAAGCAGTCACAGTTTATAGATAGCATTTATAAGACTTTCAAATTTAGAAATTAATCATTCTTTATTTGTTGTTATTTATTAAGTCTAATTCTCTTTGGGTATTTGCTTTCTACAGCTGAAAGTTAAATTTTTCTCACCTTTGTTTGAGGAATTGAGTCAAGATACACAGAGAGTTCTTTCTGTGCCTTTTCTGTACGTTCTAATAAGGAGTGTAATATTTTCTAGAAATTATTAGATGCTAGGGTTTCCACCGGAACAACCTTCCAGTGAATGTTCTGGAATTTCTGGGTTATATAATGCTGTAACGAGATCAAATGGGACCGCCCTAATTTTCAATGGATCTATCAATATCTCTACCTCGTTTGAATTCTGCTGAGCAGACTGTAACCCTGAATACTTTCCACTCTATTAATTCTTTCATAGTAAATACAAGCAATTAGGAGCAAGGTTCAAACTACAAAAGAAAGAACATTTTTATTTGGTTGAATATAATAAGAATAAGTTTAAATTTTAAAACTGAACTATATGCAATCTTTGGATAGACCCCATCCTTTTGTATTTATGGACTATACAAAACAAAACAAATCCAATGTGATTTGATTCACCGTGTACATCATAAAATATATGTCAAACCTGAGTTCTAAACCTACCTCAATGTAACTAAGCAAAAATCCAACGGGTAATATCTACCACAGAAATGATATTTACCCTTGAATATACAAGTTGGAATTTTATTTTAGGAAAATATATACCCCTAAATTCTGTTTCTACTCCCGGTTGCACAAAACCTTCCTGAATTGTAAAACAGGTTTATGAATCCATGTAATGTTATTTTTTGTGGTGTTGAAGTATAGTATTAATTCTTGCATATCTACAGTGGGATCCATAAAGCTGTGGAATAGGAAGACGACTGTTTGATTCATGTTTTGATGGATTTATTATTAAGTTAAAAATTTATATATATATAAATATGATTTTATACTTACTTCAGTGTCATCCTCACTTATATCGCTTGATCCATCCCAACTATACTCATCCTTCATTCCTTCCTTTTCATCCAATATATCCATTCCATCCCACCCATCTTCGTTTTTTCGCCATTCCAGAATGAAATCATTTATCCCACCTAACTTCTCTATTTTGGGCTTTATTTTATGAAAATCCATCTTTTTTTTCTAAAGCTAAATATTTTTATAGATTTTAATTTTTCTAATATATTTTTTGTCTAGATATTTGTTTGCATTTTTTTCCAATGGCATCATTATTTCTTCGAAAAATGCTTTGAAGTCTAATTTGTGTGTTGGTTCTTCTAAATGTAAAATATATTTAAAAATTTCAAAAAATCAAAAATTAAAAAAGTTCTAAAACCGCAGTTCTAAGTATTATGTTTAAACTAATTCTAAATGCTTAGATACCTGAAACTTCCCTGCAGGGGAATTATTTATTTCAGGGATTTAAAGTTTTTAATTAAAAAATCTTTAATAAAAAAAGTTAAGCAATAATTATGAATGATTTTTAACAGTATTCCAGTGATATTTCAACAACTTAAAAAAATNTGTTGTTTACACTTTACATGGCTTGACCCAGATAAAAAGGGATTAAAGGGAGGGTTGACATAATTTGAAGGGAATCTCAATTTATAAAAGGGCATGTCTGAATCACAACGGTACCATTAAAAGCTTTGACTGAATGAGATATCCATGTTTTCTCTCTATCTCTAAATATTGATCAGTCAATTGTAGTTATTGTTAAGAGTGACATGCGTATTTCTGCTGCAGAAAAAAGTAGAATATTGTCAGAATTATCTTCATCAACATTGACAAGATAAAGGTGTTAAAGAGTTAATGTAAATCGGGCGAACCCTCTATAAATGCAGGGTCACTTGAAATTTAGATATTTATCCCTTTAAAGCAATCATGTTAATAATATAAATATTGCACTGTACAGTGAAATTCATAAAACTGTGGAATAGGAAGATGATGAACACTGTACAGTGTACACAGCACAATTGCTGTGTTACAAGTTCATTGGACTAATCAAAATCATCAAAGTGATTTTGTTTACAATCCCGAAATTTAGGAATCATTTGTATTCTTAAATAGAGTCGTTGAATACATCGATACAAGGACTTTCCATTTAAATTTTGATTTATACCAAGATTTAAACAGCATGGATATTGGATACACATAAACATGGAAACAAAGAGAAGCTATCAATTAACATTTATTAACCTGTATAATGAGAAAAGATTGTTAGACATCAAAACTTTAAATAGAAAAGTCGTCAACAAGGTATTGATATAAACGCCGACCACCGTAGGTGAACTCTCTATTTAAATAGGATAATTTAAAATATTTTAGAGACCTGATTATATTATGTCAGAAGTATTAGTGCTATGCGAAGTAAACTGGGAGAACATGGTGAGAACAAGCAGTGTTTTCAACCTACATTGTACAGAGAGGTAAACAACTTTATTGTACTGTACTGCAGACATGGAAATATATTACATCAGAGCTGGAAACTCTTGTGTTAGATATCCTTTAATCCCGTTCGCTTAATCTTGATATCCAATGTGAACATTTTCTGCTTAATCCTCTCTTTTGAATATAATGCCGGGTTCCCACTAATTTAAGTTCTCTAATTGAACAAAATTTCCCTCTTCTATTTGCCTGTTTGGTTTCTTCAAATAAAACTCAAATTGATTAAATTTAAAACACTTACTTGGATTTCAAATAAAGATTAAATTAATCTTTAGATAAACACAAACATTGATCTCGGTATCCACAGTATAATAGTTTCCAGACATTTATGTTTTTACATTTGAAATTTAGAAAATTATTTCAGAGTCAGAATTAGCACACTATGATTATTACTTTTACTCTCCACTAAAATCCACTATTTCTTTGGTCAGAATTTTGCAGTCAGTGCAGTACGAACTGAAACCTTAGTTTAGGGTGATATGTGTAAACAAACTTCAAATTTATTATCAGAAATTATGTGTTACCATATTTAAAGTATATTGGATAGTATATATTACTATAGCTTGGGAACCCAGCATTGTCCAGGTTTCTCTATAGTTAATACCGCCGTTTACCAGAACTTGGTCGTACATTTTTAGCTATTTTTCCCACTCAACTAAGAATCGTAAAACCAGGCTAAGAATATTCCCGTGGCTCTCCCACGTTCTCCAATCAAAATGTGAGGTCAATCGGTCCAGGGGTTTCTGAGTTCTGATCGGACAAGCAAATAAACATGACACCCAAACCGAGATTACAATTTTATAGATATACATAGATACTGTATGGTAAGATTAAAATTTCCTCCTTTCTCAAATTTCTATGTCGAGTTGGACATTAATTCTTTAATCGATTGATTGATTAATTGATTCATTAATTGATCGCCTAATAAATCATGTAACTTATTAGGACCAAGCTCCTGGGTTCTGTGGTAATGGTGTAGTGGAAGGAGACGAACAGTGTGATTGTGGAATGGATTATTGGATTAGTGCTATGCGAAGTAAACTGGGAGAACATGGTGAGAACAAGCAGTGTTTTCAACCTACATTGTACAGAGAGGTAAACAACTTTATTGTACTGCAGACATGGAAATATATAACATCAGAGCTGGAAACTGTATGTGTTGGATATCCTTTAATCCCGTTCGCTTAATCTTGATATCCAATGTGAACACTTATGATTTTCTGCTTGATCCTCTCTTTTGAATATCCCTGCTTGGTTCCGAGCAGTATAAGTTCTCTAATTGATTGTGCGCAAAATTGCCCTATTCTTTTTGCCTGTTTGGTTTCTTCAAATGAAACTCAAATTGATTAAATTTAAAACACTTACTTGGATTTCAAATAAAGATTAAAATAATCTTCAGTTAAACACAAACATTGATCTCAGCATCCACAGTATAAGAGTTTCCAGACATTTATGTTTTTACATTTGAAATTTAAAAAAAATATTTCAGTGTCAGAATTTGCACACTATGATTAATACTTTCATTCTCCACTAAAATCCATTATTCCTTTGGTCAGTATTCTGCAGTCAGTGCAGTACAAACTGAAAGCTTAGTTTAGGGTGATGTGTTTAAACAAACTTCAAATTTTTTATCAGAAATTATATGTTACCATATTTTAAGTATATTTTGGATAATATATATTTTGGTGTATGGAAAGATTAAATTTTTCTTCTTTCCCAAATGTCTATGCCGAGTTGGACAATTGTAAAGCTAATTCTTTGATTGATTGATTGATTAATTGGTCGCTTAATAAATCATGTAACTTATTAGGACCAAGCTCCTGGGTTCTGTGGTAACAGTGTAGTCGAAGGAGACGAACAATGTGATTGTGGGATGGATTATTGGTAATAATAATAAANTACCTACCTACCTACCTACCTACCTACCTACCTACCTACCTACCTACCTACCTACCTACCTACCTACCTACCTACCTACCTACCTACCTACCTACCTACCTACCTACCTACCTACCTACCTACCTACCTACCTACCTACCTACCTACCTACCTACCTACCTGCCTTCCTACCTACCTACCTACCTACCTACCTACCTACCTACCTACCTACTTACGGACCTAATTACCTAACTACCTAATTACCTATCTAACTACCCACCTTCTTAACTACCTTTATACCTACCTACCTAACTACCTAACTACCTTTCTACTTACCGTCCTGCCTATCTACCTACCTAATTACCTACCTAACTGCCTTAGAACTACCTACCTGCCTATCTACCTACCTACCTACATAATTACCTACCTACATACCTACCTACCTACATACCTTCTTAGGTACTGGAATGCTAGTGCTAGACCCTGCCAAAGAAACAGTAAACAAACTTGCCTAGGTAAATAGGGATTTTTTTCATAAAATAATAAAATACACTGCATATTATATGCACATTATATAAAAACTGAATAATATACTATCTAAACAATTGTAGTAAAAGTTCTTGATATACATTTTTTTAACTTGAATTTCAAGAATTTTGGGTTTTTAATGAGGCCTTAAAGTTTTTTCATACAACACAAAAAAATGTAATTTAAAGCTTTTTATAAGTTATGAAATAGGTTTTCGTTGTTTTTGATGTTTATATAATATTAGAAATCTTGAGAATACAGTTTTAAAGATTATTAATCAATGCCACAAAAATATCTAGCAACTCTGTTTTGTATATTTCCTAAAAGATGCTTTTTTATGGAAACATTTAGAATCCTGCGTGATCAGAAACCTTGGCGATATGAGGTTCCACAATATTTTAACAATATCTGTAGATTGTGCTTTTCCATAGAAAATTTTTGTTTTTTAGACAGCTTCTCAACCTTCTTCACTTTTGGCATGGTCTGTCCTTTTCTGTTTTTAACAGGTAACCATCCAATTCTGTTTTCTGTGAAGGTACCCATCCAGTGCTGTTTGGTGGGAAGGTACCTATCCAGTTATGTTTGCTGGGAAGGTACCTATCCAGTTCTGTTTTCTGTGAAGGTACCTATCCGGTTCTGTTTTTCGTGAAGGTACCCATCCAGTTCTGTTTGCTGCGAAGGTACCTATCCAGTTCTGTTTGCTGGGAAGGTACCTATCCAGTTCTGTTTTCTGGTACCTATCCAGTTTTGTTTTCTGGAAAGGTACCCATCCACATCTGTTTGCTTCGAAGTTACACATCCAGTTATGTTTGCAGGGAAGATAAGCAACCAATAAGCAATCAATAGGCAACCAATAAGCCACCAATAAGCAACCAAAGCAACAAATAAGAAAACAATTGCAACCAATAAACAACCAATAAGCAACCAAAGCAACCAATAAGAAAACAATTGCAACCAATAAGCAACCAATAAGAAATCAATAAGAAATCATTAAGCAATAGATAAAGAAGCAATAAG